GATTATCTTCTCAAAGGGGGAGACCCCCCCCGCCCCTCTGGGCAGCCTGTGCCAGTGCTCAGCCGCCCTTACGCTGAGCAAGTGTGTCCTGATGTGCAGAGGTGCCCAGCGCCTCTGGTCTGGGCACTGGGAAGAACCTGGCCCTCCCTTCTTCATACCCTTCCTTCTTCATACCCTCCCTTCAGGTGTTCACACACGTTGGTGAGACTCCCCGAGCCTTCTCTTCTCCGGGCTGAACAGTTGCCGCCTTTCACAGAATCGTAGTGGTTGGAAAAGATCTTGAAGATCATCAAGTCCAACCATGAATCCAACACTGTCAATTCCACCTCTAACCCATGTCCCTCAGCACCTCGTCTGCCTGTCTGTTAAATCCCACCAGGAATGGTGACTCCACCACCTTCCTGGGCAGCCTGTCCCAGTGCTTGAGAACCCTTTTGCTGAAGAAGTTTTTCCTGATATCCAACCTAAACCTCCCTTGGCGCAACTTGAGGCCATTTCCTCTTGTCCTGTCACTTGTTCCTTGGTTGAACAGACCCACCCCCACCTCTCTCCACCCTCCTTTCAGGGAGTTGGACAGAGCCAGAAGGTCTCCCCTCAGCCTCCTTTTCTCCAGGCTCAACAATCCCAAGGTTTTCTCCCTTTATGCTCCATCCCCTAATCATCCGTTGTGGCCCTTTGTTGGACTCTCTCCAGTTCATCCATGTCCCTCTTGTTCTGGGATGCTCAGAACTGAAGACAGTACCACAGGGGTGGCCTCACCAGTGCTGAGCAGTGTCACCTCTGTATCCAGACCTGCTTCTCCTGCTCTGTGCTGAGCTGTGCACAGACGATGCTTCCTATCATCCACACAATCTGGTCCATCAGTGCTCTCCTCTGAGGAAAGGTGGTAGCACATTATCTCTTTGTCTGGGCTTCTGGTAGGTGACCGTCCAGCCCAGAGAAGGATGGGTGAGCAAGGAGCACTGCTTTGGCTACAGTGTGCTGTAGCTCCACAAAAGGTGTCACGAGCTTGTTCTCCTGGGAGACAATGTCCTTCCTTTAATCTCATGTGGACGTACAATGGTACCAGACCTGCTAATGTGTGGTTCAGAGTGTGTGGTGGGAGCATGCTGAGCTGCCACAACACCTCTGGGTCAAACAAGGAGGCAAGGCAGTGTCTCTCAGTATATGTCCCTCCTGTCTGCATGTGCAGTCCACCCCACGCTCCAAATTTGGCACATGAGACCTTGGAAAGGCAGCGTCCGCCTCCCTCTACAGAAAAAAAATTACTGACCAGGGAGCAATTCGAGAAGAGCTGCAGTGGAAAATGAACCGTCCTGCTGTTTCCTTTGTTACTAGCTGTGGCACAGCCAATTTCTATTTTATTAACTCAAACAAAAGTATAAACTCAGCCTTTTTATTAGTACTGTTTATTGCGAATGTTAAAATGTTTTGAACTGAGAGATGATCTGATTGGATAGGTAAATTATATAATTAATTGGAAGACCCTTCCATGACAATTATATATATATATATCAAAGCCATTCAAGTGAGAAAATGCAACCTTGAAAATGAAGTAGAGAGTTCAGTCATTGCTGAAACATACGAGAATATGTGTATTTAGATATTTTACACAAAGGGAATCTTGTTTACAGAAAAGAGACCTTGTTGATTATCTGATACAATCAAGTGCTTGTGAAATATAGTCTCTTACGGAAAGCATTCAATTTCTTAATGATTTAGAGACTTCCTTTCAGCTTGGAGTGCTCTCTTTCATATTCACAACTTGAAGTAGATAGTCCATCATCTAATAAAAAGAGAAAAATATTATGTATAGACTGGTCCTGAAGAAAGTCATTCACAAAGTTAATAAGCCTCATATATATCTGCTCACATAACAAACACATTCCTAATCTGTCCAAAACAGACCTCATTTGTCTTGGTTAGTGTAATAACCCACTGCCAAAGTACGAGGAAAGTCATTCTCCCAAATCATTCTGTCTGCCATCTCATTTATATAGTGTCTCATTACTGTTAGAAAGCCAAGTCACAGAAACAATTTAAAGCTTATTTTCCAACTTACTTTCACACTTAGGCCAACTTGCAGGCAAGATTTCCCTTCTGATCTTTAACTGCTGTAACTGTAATTTATTTACAGAATAAAGAGCAAGCAAGATCTTAATTTGCCTGTGATTCTGTGATTGCCTGGTATTAAATGAAAACAGAAGAAAGTAACTCGGGTGCAACACCCTATGCCTAATTCCCAGAACAAATACATTCATGTCTTTTGTCTTTTTCAACTATTTGTGCATTACAGCACTTTTCCTACTTTGGGTGAGTCTTTTAGAAATAAATTTTTTATTCTTGAGAAATGTACAGCACAGTGTGAGCATTAGTGGTAAATAATGCACTGGATGAATTTGAGCTCATAAGCAAGACCCTGAATTGAGTTACCTGAAGTATGTACCTGTATTTACTTCTGCAGCCTTTAGTTTTGGGGATTTCTGATCTTAAATTTAAAATTCAAATTTAAAATTAAATCAGCTAAATTTGAAATAGTCCATGAAATAAAGCCCTCATAGTACATTCGTTTCCAACACAGCCTGTCTTTGCTTAGGCTTGGTAGATGGGAGCACAGGGTTGCACATGCAGAGATCGACTCCTCGTCATTAGCATCTCTGCAAGTGCACGCTCAGTCTATGAGAACTACAGCTCCTTGATGGTGATACGGTCTTGGGACAGCTATTCCATCAGCTGACAGCAGGGTTCACGATTTACCTTTTTTTGGTCACATTTCAATACTTCAATCCAACAGGCCACTTCACAGTGAGCAGTAACCCGCTGTAAGTATGATATCTGGCTCCTCCTAGAATTAGTTTCTATTTCAACACAATATGGCTTGAAAAGCATTTAATGCCAAGTACAGACTCCTCATATGCACTGCACCATCGTCGTCAGTCTGCTCTACCTGGCCGTCTTCCACCGAGGCAGGTAGCTACATTCATCACTCCTGTGCATGGACACCTTTGTTAGCTGTGGTACAGCAGCACCTTAAACGAAGGTGTTGTCTTACCAAAGTTTGTGCAACATGGAACCCCTCACATCCAGAAAAATCTACAGAATCAAAATCCAAAGGTCATTTATGCTCTTGTATCACTGTGCACATGTATGACTGAATTTCATATGCATACTAGAATTCCACCTTTATAAATAAACAAGGCCTGCTTTATTAAAAATAACAATTATAATTATTTAAATGTTTAGGTAACTATCACAACCCTCAAAAACGTAAAGCGTGTTCCTTTCAATGTTCAGGTCGTCTTCATCGGGAAGGCAGATCTCAAAAAGATATATAGCTTAACTTCTAGGTGCTGGGTTTTTGCTTGCAGAAGCCAAAGGAAAAACCCCACATCGTATCTTATCTAGACTGTGTATAATCAGGCATTTGTGTCCAACAGTAGGAAAGCACAGGTTACACACTACTTTCATGATTATGTTTTACTTCATGATGGAGACAGAGTAACTGTTGAATGCTGGAAATCAAAGGTTCTATGGCAAAATGAGGTTCTGCAAGTTGTTGTATATCTTAGTCACGTGAAAGACATTTTTTTACTAATCATTGGAGAAATCTGGATATTTAAGGCAATAATCTCCTTATTCCATGTCTATGTTCAACGTCTGACCACAAAAACATGTATATTACTTTAGGGTAAAAGTACACATATATGGATATGATTCAACTTACTGGAGGCAACTTTCAGCCTTCGTATGATTTATTACCAGACACTTTCAGAAGTCAAAATACTTCCCTCTTTACATAGCATAATGGAATTTGTTCATCTGATTTGATTACAAAGCTGCACACTGTAGAGCTGGGGATGAGATAAATAGTTTTCTTCTTGGATAGTATTAATCACAGTTATAAGCATCACTGTCATAAAGCCATAGCCAGAAAGAAACCTATGAAGTGTTCATACGAGCGGTGTAAGAGACTTCAATCATGGCCTAACTGAATGGGTAATTTTTTGCCCATATTCAAGTCAAAACCAAAGTATTCGCTGACTTTACTGCTCCAGGATTTCAGGAGGGAGACTGGGCTGAAGTTAGCCCAGGAATATCAATTACATCATATTACAGAAGGATATGGGAAGAAAAAAAAAAAAATCTTCTCATTAATGGCTTCAAGGGGGTGTATTCATCTTTTTATTCTGTTTCAATGTCACCCAAAAGAGTTCTGCAGCTCTATCACTATTACTGTACCTGATGCATTATAAAGGAGTATTCTAGTAAATCCTGCAGTTTACATTCTGTCACGTGGACCCTGATGAGTCTGTAAAACCTCACTGATATCCTACCCAGTGTATTTTATAGGATTTGCCAGAAGAATAGGGGTGAATCTGCTCCAAAGCCTTGTTATCTTGTGAAATCGTGCTAATAAGCGCATTAACTTGAGGGAAGAAGAGGCACACAACACAGCTTAACAGTAGCCACAGAATCATTTTGCAAGACCACAAGTGACCACAGCAGTGGCCAGCACCATTAGCTGGGGGGAAAGACTTGCAGGAGGCAAAGACAAAGCTGGGACCAGAGGAACCTTTCAAACCCAGTTGCTCTATCCACTGGTGGCGGTTCCTCACAAGCCAGACAAGACAACAACAGCCAGAACGGCGACCAAGGGAGACAGTGACCATGGTGCGGCTTTATGCACAACACACTGTGCCTTCCTCCTGCCCTCAACAGTCACCCTGCTTTTCACACTGGCTTGTTTTCGCTGGGTGAATACAGAACTTGGTGCTGATGTGACCATCTGAGCATGAAGTGCTAGAAAAGAAAAGAATGGAGGGACCAAGCAACTTGAAGAAAATCCAGAGACTAAAATCTGCTTAATGCTTGCTGAGTTTATGCCCAGGAGCAAATTAATTCATAAAAAATACAGTCTGTGAGTGACAACCTGCAGTCAAGAGCAGAATCTCACTTTTCTGAATGACTAGTGTATGAGATGCGGTTTGGCTACTCTTCTGGACAACCCACAAGTGAGAGGAAGCTGATATGTCACTGTAAAACGGAATTTGAATACATGGAGTGTTTTTACAGGTTTTATCTTACTTACATCTTTCCAACTGTTATTGTCATCTGTCTCCCAGGTGTTCCTGGTGTACCAGGGAAGCTCTCCTTTTAAAAAGTGAGCACTTTTATTTTCATTCCCTTCCAGCAGTCGTAGCAAATATTTCGAGATTTCTTCCCACTGCAGATAGTCTTCCAACTGCTTGATATTTTCAGGCAATGCTGAAAACGGTGTCTTGTTTTCTTCTTCATAAACATAAGGAAAATCTCCAGTGCTCTTTTTCCCCATTAAATGTCCTGTAACAACAATGAGAGTAGCAGGAAATTAACCCAAACAGCTATAGTTGTGACTGTTCAGACAGCAGCTGGACACTGCTATTGTGTAGTGTGGAGGGAAGGGGTTAGAGGATATCAAAGTTGAAGCACAACTGGGATGGGAGATTTTTGTCACAGTGTCACACACAATTCATTTCCTCTGTCTCTTATGCTCCATTGTCAGAGAAAACGTTGCTGAGAATGAGCTAAAGATAACCAAGCACTTTCCCTGGAGCGAGGGGAGGCACCAGGTGAGATGTGCTGGAGTCAGAAGCGCCTGGTGAAGCTGCAGGTTTTAGACTTTCCCTGCCTCGACGGGAGATGTGGGAACTCTGGTGTGAGCCCGTCCCAGCGCCCTTCTAGGAGCTGAACGGGCCGCACTTTTGATACGTACACGCTACTTTATTGTCAGCACAACGAGGGCTGAGCTGGCTGTGGGCTGCAACGGCGGCTGCCTAGAGAGGAGGGTGAGAGGCAGCACCCGAGGTGCTGGTTGGGTTCTGGGTGTTGGGGAGCTCCCGGGTCTCGCCCGGCTGCCTTCCCGGAAACATCCTCAGCAAATGACCACGCTCAGGGCAGCGGGGACAGTGGCGTCCCCCCACGCTCTGTCCCGCACC